CTTGTCCTCTGAATGGATTAAATTATGATATACTTCCATAAAATAAATGCTTTTAATATTAATAATGTTACTTTATTGGGGCTGATCAGTGACATCACTCACTGCCAAAGCAGCCGTGATACGCTGACGTCTGTGCAAGTTCTGAAAGGGCTGGATTTGAATGAGACACAACAGCTGAGAGGACTGGGACATCCTATCTCCTGGTTCAGTTCCCCATCCCAGGAACTACCCTGGAGATCCGGTAATGGAAACATGCCTAATGACGATTTAAAACGTCTTACAACGTTCATCTGTAAGGGAGAAGATCCTACTACATGTCAGCTTCTTGTAAACACAACAAAGCTAAATATTTAATGAAAGAAGCTGAAACAAACAAATTGGCCATAACAATCAGAGACGTAACCGCTGATTCTGGGTGCTACTGGTGTGGAGCTGAAAACACCGACGAACAACGCAGCTAAACATTCACCCACAGAATGTCCTTAAATGTTGGCGAGTTGTGGTGTTTTAGTCTGACCCACGTCCGGTTTGTGGAGTTACTCTGATTAATGCCGAGCTCACATTTTTCACACATCAGAGGACGGCAGCTGGATTAGACACATCTGGAGGGTTTAGTTTTTGTTTTCCTTCAGGACCAGCAGTCGCATCTCCTGTAACTTCTAAAAGTCCAACTAAAACTGGTAGGAGATTATTATTATTATTGTTATCGTCATGAATTTCCACCATTTTTAAGAATGACTGGTGACTATTTATTGTTGTTTTGTAGGCGACTCAAAGAAAAGAAACAGACGTAATGGTCTGTGGAGTCCTGTTGGTGCTGCTTCTGGTTATTATCACAGCAACAAACGTCGTCTACAAGCGTAAGAATTTTAATCACTTTGTTGTTTACAACATAGAAATCTTACATGTGACGTTCAAACGTAAGATCACGATGTTTGAATGCTTGATTGTGATCATTACAGGTGCTGGCCAGTAAATTAGAATATCATCAAAAGGTTGAAAATATTTCAGTAATTCCATTCAAAACGTGAAACTTGTACATTATATTCATGCAATGCACACAGACCAATGTATTTCCGATGTTTATTACGTTTAATTTTGATATTTATAGGTGACAACCAATGAAAACATCAAATCTGGTATCTCAGAAAATTAGAATATTCTAAAGGCCAATGAAAAAATGTTTGTTTCTCTAATGTTGGCCAACTGAAAAGAATGAACATGAAAAGAATGTGCATGTATAGCACTCAATACTTAGTCGGGGCTCCTTTTGCCTCAATAACTGCAGTAATGCGGCGTGGCATGGACTCGATCAGTCTGTGGCACTGCTCAGGTGTTATGAGAGCCCAGGTTGCTCTGATAGTCGTCTTCAGCTCCTCTGCATTGTTGGGTCTAGCGTATTGCATCCTCCGCTTCACAATACCCCATAGATTTTCTATGGGGTTAAGGTCAGGCGAGTTTGCTGGCCAATCAAGGACAGGGATACCATGGTCCTTGAACCAGGTGCTGGTGGTTTTGGCACTGTGTGCAGGTGCCAGGTCCTGTTGAAAGGTGAAGTCTGCATCCCCATAAAGTTGGTCAGCAGCAGGAAGCATGAAGTGCTCTAAAACTTCCTGGTAGACGGCTGCATTGACCCTGGACCTCAGGAAACAGAGTGGGCCAACACCGGCAGATGACATGGCACCCCACACCATCACTGACGGTGGAAACTTTACACTGGACCTCATGCAACGTGGATTCTGTGCTTCTCCGCTCTTCCTCCAGACTCTGGGTCCTTGATTTCCAAAGGAAATGCAGAACTTGCTTTCATCAGAAAACATAACTTTGGACCACTCAGCATCAGTCCAGTCCTTTTTGTCCTTGGCCCAGGCGAGACGCTTCTTGCGCTGTTTCTTGTTCAAGAGTGGCTTGACACACGGAATGCGACACCTGAATCCCATGTCTTTCATGAGTCTCCTCGTGGTGGTTCTTGAAGCGCTGACTCCAGCTGCAGTCCACTCTTTGTGGATCTCCCCCACATTTTTGAATGGGTTTGTCGTCACAATTCTCTGCAGGGTGCGGTTATCCCTAGAGCTTGTACACTTTTTTCTACCACATTTTTTCCGTCCCTTCGCCTGTCTGTTAATGTGCTTGGACACAGAGCTCTGCGAACAGCCAGCTTCTTTAGCAATCACCTTTTGTGTCTTGCCCTCCTTGTGCAAGGTGTCAATGATTGTCTTTTGGACAGCTGTTAAGTCAGAAGTCTTCCCCATGATTGTGGTGCCTTCAAAACAAGACTGAGGGACCTTTTAAAGGCCTTTGCAGGTGTTTTGAGTAAATCAGCTGATTAGAGTGGCAGCAGGTGTCTTCTATATTCAGCCTTTTCAGAATATTCTAATTTTTTGAGATACCAAATTTGGAGTTTTCATTAGTTGTCACTTATGAATATCAAATTTAAATGTAATGAACATTGGAAATACATTGGTCTGTGTGCATTGCATGAATATAATGTACAAGTTTCACGTTTTGAATGGAATTACTGAAATATTTTCAACCTTTTGATGATATTCTAATTTACTGGCCAGCACCTGTATTTTAGCTCTTTCTCAGGTTTAAAAACAGAACGTAACAGAAAATGATGGAGTCGTTTTAAGGAGCTGACATTTGTTGCATCAGTTCCCTGAATTAGAAACGTGATAAAAACGTAACTTTATCTCTGTCATCAAAGCGCAGGAAGCTGCTGTTTTTATCTGAAACAACAACAACAAAAGCCTCCAATCACATATAAAAACATGACAGCACAAAGTCATTTATCAGTTGCGTGAGACAAAATCTGAGTTTGCAGGTCTGCAAGCTTAAATTGTGTTTTTTTCTGTCTTCTTCTTTCTTTCTTGAAAAAGTTGCAGTGTCCACCCGGCTTAAGTCCCCATAAACATTGAACACTTTTAACCATAATGTTTATTTGGATAAAATCTAATTTACCTAAATGGACCAAAATAAGGACAATTAAAGAAACTGACTCTGACATGAAGCATGTATGGTGCTGCAGCCAGCTGCTGCTAGATAGCTGCCACTAGCAGATCTATGATTACAAGTATGATTCAAGTGTGAGTGCCTGTGATACGTGCATGCCACTCTCTTCTCATTCAGGATGGGCTCCAGAGCTGCCGGTTTGATGCTGGCAGCGATGGACGACGATCGCCTTCAGACACGTCAGCACGCTGAGCTTCAGAGCCCGCTGGTTCTTCCTCAGGAAGGAGCCCAACAGAGACAGAGCCTCTGGCAGGATGGGGACAGGTCAGCCTGAAGAGGAAGGGAAGTTTTTTTTCACGTCTCTAGTTTGTCTTTTGTTGACAAATATGTGTGCTGAACCTTTAACTGAGCTTTTATCCCCACACACCACCTCTCGGAACCTCAGATCCACATCTGAAAACCTCCTGGCTGTTCCTGGAACCAGACTGAAAACCAAAGGGGACAGGGCCTTTCAGACTTTGGAACAGTCTACCTTCAAATCTCCGTCTCTCTAACACTGTAGAGGTCTTTAAAAATCATCTAAAAACTCACCTTTTCATCCAGGCGGTCCCTCCCTACATGTTCTAAAAGATGGCTTTGTTCGGGTTCACACCTTCACTTTGTTTATACTCATGATTTTATTTTCTACGTTTATCACTGCTATTGTTTTTCTGTTGTTTTTATTGGTTAGAGGTATTTGCCCTGATCTTTATCATGTTGTACAGCGCTTTGTGATTCATATCTGAGATAGGCGTTCTATAAATAAACTTTTACTTAACAGGGAAGCAGAAATGAGGGTGCTGGTTCTAACGGCAGTTAGCTTTGTTATCTCCTTTTATAATCTCTCCAGAAAGATGGCCAGGACCCCCTGAAGCTCCAATCCCAGGTGGTCTCCAAGGAGACACACCAGGTGACCTATGCAGGAAATGCCTCTTTCCTTCACTTCCTGGTTGATGTCTGCTGCTTTGAGCCTCGTCACCATTACAAAGACACCTTCAGGAAGAGTTTTATGGAGAACAGGTGACCAAATAAAACACATCTGGAGTGAACCAACAGCTGATCCAAAGCGAACACATGGAAGGATGAAAACAAGAATAAAACAAAGTCTGCAAGAACAAAACATTTCTTCATGCTTTCATTGATTTTCTGAAGGAACCCGACTCCTTCTCGTCTCACAGGTTCTGGCAAACCTGTTTATGAAACCAACACACATTAAAGCAATAAGGTGAAGCAACGCAGTTTCCTGGTAACATAAATCAAGAATTGTCAAAGAGAATTAGTTTTAAACTTCTGCAGAAAACTTCCTCGGCCGGGGCCAACGCCCCTCTTTGACATATGGCTTTAGGTCAAACGCTGCAGACACGGCTGTCGGTTCCTGAGGTCTCCTCAGTTTTATCAGCTGCTGAGTGACCAGCAGGGCCTCAGATGTGATCTCATAAAAGCTGTCCTCCACACACACCAGGACAGCAGGGAGCAGAACCTGCTGGAGACGCACCAGCATGACACCCAATCAGAAGTTTGGTCTTCAGTGGCCTCTAACGAGGCTTTTATTATACGAAGATTCAGTTTTAATGCCTTTGTTACACCCCTCTGTGGGCGCTGCTAGGAAGGAGAGGGGCATAAACATAAAAAGGACAAGTTTAACGCAAAGTAACCCTAACGGAGGAGAAAAAGGCTTGACCAAGCAAAAACCAAACTCAGAGTGTCCTTGTCTTTACAAAGGTTTTATTAAAAAGAAAGGAAACCAAAAGAAGGGGCCAAAACCCTTACCACGAAATTAACCAAGTTAAAATTAATTAATTAACTGAAAATGTCCAGAGGACCAACCACTACAAATCCTAAAATTAATCTCCTTTAATAAAATGGACTGGAACTGTGGGCAAAATCCCCACCAAGTAGTTAAAAGGTTTGTCTAAAAGACAAACCAAACAAAAAGGTACTAAAGTAACTTAACTTGTCAAAACACCAAAACTACTAAATAGCTCTGCTATATTTAAAACGGGAAAAGAGGAAAAACCCCACCTGGTCATTTACCAAAGGTAGTCTAAGAGACTCACCAAACCAACAATTACCGGTTAACTAAGAATATCTCTAAACATCAAAATTCCTAAGATTACTTTTCTCAAAAGAAAGCCAAACAACCTGGTTTTAACCACAAGACCGAGATAACCACAAAGGGGAGAGAACACACGTTGCTGGTGCAACCTACAAACATTTCTCTCCCCTGATGAGCTTCAGCTGGCCGCTTTTGACGGGCCGGCTGACGAGCTGAAAAGTCCCAGCTGGACGTGACGGCTGCTCTGGCGCTGTCCATGGTCCTGAAGTAAAGACAGCTTCCCAAGGAGCAGCTGTCCAAGGTGCTGAACTGCTGAACATGAAAATGGGAGTGCAACACACCACTGGGCTCCAAAACGGCAGTAACAGTGTTCTAAAGGGAACCACGGAGAAGAACCTGCATGTGCCGCTGAGAGGTTTGTGGAGGGTGTGAGAGGAGGAGGACGTTAAAGAAGGAGAGAGCATCGATCCTCATGGAGGAGGAGGAGAACTTATCTGTCAGGGAGAAGATGATGCCTGGAGGAAAGAGGTAGTCCTGAAAACTTGAACGTTTTTGTTGGAGGAGTACTGCTGTCCGTTTATCCAGACTCCTGCTCCTCCTGCACCTGCTGCAGCTCCCGCTGCTGCTCCTCCTGCTCCAACTCCCCGCTGCTGCTACTCCTGCTGCTGCTTCTCCTGCTGCAGCTCCCGCTGCTGCTACTCAGGTTCCTGCTGCAGCTCCCGCTGCTGCTCCAGCTGCCGCTACTCTTGCTCCTGCTGCTGCTAATACTGATCCTGCTGCTGCTGCTCCCACTGCTGCTACTTCTGCTCCTGCTGCAGCTCCCTGCTGCTGCTATTGCTGCTGCAACTCCCCTCTGCCGGTCCTCCAGCTCCCACTCCCGCTCATCCTCCTTCAGCTCTTCCTCGTGTCTTATCTGAAAAAAGACATAACAAGGTTAAAGAGCTGGATCTACCAACACTGGTTTTTCACCCGTTTCTCAATAAACAACATTCATAACATTCCAACACCCTTTTTTCCCAGGATCAGTAACGATGAAACAGTGAATATTTTCACCTAAAAACATAAATGAACATTTTTGTTTCAATAGTAAAAGTGTCTCAGAAAAATCCTGCTAAACTTCTTGTGGCCTCAGATCTAAAGGAGCGGTCTCCCATCCCAGCATCTGCAGCCCCAGTGCACGCCAAAGAACAACCACATCATCTGCAGGAGGCAGAGATGAGATCCCAGGATTCCCAAACCACAGGTTCTCTTTTCCACTGGTTCTACCAACAAGATCGGAGACCAAAGAACGTCCTAGCAGAGTTCAACCCGCTCTGGGAACAAGCTTGAGTTTGTGCTAATAATGTGCTCAAACTCTGGGGCTTTGACGTGATTTCATGTCAGATGATGATTCCACTAAACATGGATGTTCTCAGCTGCACCGTGAGTAGATGTTGTGTTTTAGTGTTCTGTGTATTACCTCGGTGTTCTGCTCCACGGCCTCTATGACGAATGCTAGAAGCGTGTTCCAGAGGATGATCTGGGAGATGATGACGAATGAAACAAAATAGATCATTGGGATCCATTTGTCTCTGCCAACGCAGGAGTCGTTTCCGGGTCTGCATGGTCTGCTGGCGTCCTGCATTACATGAGAGACAATGTTGTTCACTCTCTGGCGGGCAGGCGTGAGCGGCCAGAGTCAACGTGGTGAAATGCATGTGTGAGTTTAGACGTACGATCCAGAGGTCACTCCAGTTGTCGCCTGTGAATATCCTGATGACGGTCAGAAACGCAGGTCCAAAGTCTTTAAAGTTAGCGTAGCGGTTCAGGCCGATGCAGGGGTAGTCCTTAGAGCATTCTGGTCACACATGAGATCCACGGATGTTACTACATCTGCAGCCTGTGTGTGTGTGTGTGTGTGTGTGTGTGTGTGTGTGTGTGTGTGTGTGTGTGTGTGTGTGTGTGTGTGTGTGTGTGCTTTTGAAGAAACGAACCCAAAGTGCTGAACGCATCCACCCCAACATTGGCGTACACCACGAGGACAAACGCCAGCAAGACACAGAGGGGGAAGATCTGCAAGCAGAGCATTTGGTAATCCAGACAAAAAGCTGAATGTTTTCCAGGAGTGCTAAAGGATAAACATTTATAATAAAACTCCCCAAAAATATGGAAAAGAAAAGTGGGAACATGCACATTTACCCATTGCAGGCTCTTCACGAGGATCGCAGTAAACTTCCTCACCGTCTTCGCCCTCAGAGCTGAAAAAAAGCACAGCCACATCAGCTTTAAGCACACATACAACACACACACTCATCTGCCCGCCAAACATCTGTTTCACTTGAATGAATCTGTTTAATTATTTTGTACCTTGTGAGTAGCGGAGGAGCCGAAAGACCCTCAAGGCTGTTGGGCTGAAGGTCATCGAGTCCGTCAGCTGCATCACGTCCAAGGACAGGTTGATGCCCATGATCAAC